AGAAATGTGGCATAAAGGATGATACAAGGCAAGAAAAGGGTCTAGTAAGAAAGGTCAGGAGGCCTAAAGAAATTACCATAACCATGCTGAGAATAAGATGGTGCTTCTGGCTGGGAAAAGGTACTAGCTGCTCACATTAGATAGTCCTTCGGCTTTCCAGGAGCTCCCTCTTCGGGCCATTGCTATTAAACCTAGGTTGGAGTCATGGAGCAGAGCATACAGGCATCATCAGCCAGTAACCTCTCCAGCTCTGGATGAGTGAACAAAAGCTGGTAATGAGATTAGGATGTTTGTTGTTGTTGTTGTTGTTGTTGTTGTTTTTGAGGTGGAATCTTGCTTTGTCGCCAGGTTGGAGTGCAGTGGTGCAATCTTGGCTCACTGCAACCTCCACCTCCAGGTTCAAGTGATTCTCCTGCCTCAGCCTCCCAAGTAGCTGGGACTACAGGTGTGTGCCATGATGCCCAGCTAATTTTTGTATTTTTAGCAGAGACGGGGTTTCACCATGTTGGCCAGGATGGTCTTGATCTCTTGAACTCTTGATCTGCCCGCCTCGGCCTCCCAAAGTGCTAGGATTATAGGCGTGGGCCACCGCACCTGGCCAAGATTAGGATGTCTTTTATAAGAGCTTAGGTGTAACTGACTGGCTATAGGCTGGCATGAGCCCGTAACTAGGCTAGTAAGTGGCAAATAAGAGAACAGCAAGGTTTCCATAATCTGCCCCTTCTTTCTCCCCTTGGCTCTCCCTTCTTACTTCCCCACAGTGACCATGAGGGTGGCAATGTAAGTGCCCATACCAGCCACTTGGTGGGCAGTGCCCTTTCAGACCCTTACCTGTCCTTTGCAGCAGCCATGAACGGGCTGGCAGGGCCTCTCCATGGACTGGCAAATCAGGTAAGACTATTCTTTTTTATTTTCCTGCTACATGTTTTCCTTACCCCATGCTTTGTTTCTGATCTTGGCATTGTCTCCTGGCATATGTATTAACATGCCCTTTTTTCCCAAACCTTACCCATAGGAAGTGCTTGTCTGGTTAACACAGCTGCAGAAGGAAGTTGGCAAAGATGTGTCAGATGAGAAGTTACGAGACTACATCTGGAACACACTCAACTCGGGACGGGTAAGCAGAGATGCTTAATGACTAGGAAAGAAACCAAGACCCAAGTTCTGCAGTTTGGAAGAATTAAGAAGAAAAGAATGAAAGAGGTCCCTAAATTAGAGATTTTTTTTTTTTTTCATTTATCTACTTTGAAGAATTTAGAACAGAATTTCTGGTTGGGCACAATGGCATGCACCGGTAGTCCCGCCTACTTGGGAGGCTGAGGCAAGAGGATTGCTTGAGGCCAGGAGTTCAAGTCTGAAGTGTGCTAAGATCACTCCTGTGAATAGCCACTGCACTCCAGCCAGGACAACATAGCAAGACCCTGTCTCTAAAAAAAGATTTTAAATAGGTCGAGTGTGGTGGCTCACGCTTATAATCTCAGCACTTTGGGAGTCCAGGGTGGGTGAATTGCTTGAGCCCAGGAGTTTGAGACCAGCCTGAGCAACATAGACCCTATCTTTTTTTTTTTTTTTTTTTTTAA